CTTGAGTCTCCAGAACTACTTCAAGCCAAATATACTTTTTTCTTTATTAAATACCCTGCCTTTTGTATTTTATTACAGTAAAGAATATAAACTAAAGCGGTGTTTCATGGCAGGGCCACTGCTTTCTATAAAATGCTCTGCATCATGATGCAGCAAATTGGGAATTTTAAGGTTTATTGATGATCCACTGTGTCCTTTCATTTCTCTCTTTTTAAATATATTGATTTTTATTATATTATTATTAAATAATATATTATTTTGGTATTTCATAGATTATGTTGTTATAAAGGTAATATTCGTGTTCATATATTATTAATTTTAATATAATATTGATTATTTGAGAATTCCATATAATGTATTTTGGTCATATTTAGCTCCCACTTCTCCCTCTAACTCCCCTCAGATGCACCCCCACCTCTCTATTCCCCGAATCTGCCCACCCAACTTTGTGAGTGTTTTTAATGACCCATCAGCTCCAGTTCGTGGACTCATGGGCATCAGACACTGGCATGCAGCCAGCCTAGCAGTGACCACATTCCTAAAGAAAACTGACTCTCTTCCCAGACATCACTCAGGAGGGGGGCTCCATGCTAGGATGTCGGCTGACTTGACCTCATGGAGGCAGCCACAGACACTGTTTCAATGCAGTCCTCCAGACCTCTGGATCTTACAGTCTCCACCCCCTCTTCAAGGTGGTCCCTGAGCCTTGGTGGAAGAGGATGAGGAAGACGCCCCGTTTGCGGCTGAGCACCCCACTGACGCTTTATTCTCTGCACTTTGACCAGTTGTGGGCTTCTGCACCACCATCCACCACACAAAGACATTCCTCTAAGGAGGTCTGAGAGCTGTACTAATCTATGGGTACAGAGATCCAAATTTAAGGGGCAGTTTGATACTCTGTCCATTTAGCAAAATTATAGTAGTAGGTTCATGGCTGGGGCCTGTGAACGTCCCAACCAGGGGTTCTTGACCATATTTACACTATCTATGGGAACGGGCCTTAAATCCAATCAGAAAGTAGGTGGCTGCCCCCATAATATTTGTGCTACTATTGACCCATGGACATATACGGGTCACATCAAATCAGTCATTTACTATAATTCACAGGATCCACAGCTGGGTAAGACCACTGATAAACCTGAGCGAATGTGTATTTTTAACACGGGCACGTCAAGGAACCAAGGCCAATCCACCCACAGGACAGTTTGGCAATGCCGTTACTGACATGGCCCATGCGAGAGGATTGGCAAAGCTTTGCTGGGTGTTTGTGGGTGGCTGATCGTGTGTGCAGACTAGCAACTGTAACCTCCTCCTCCTGGATGTTTACAGCCTGCACCTGCTCCTCTACAGAGACCTAACAGGACTACCCAACCCTGCCCCCTGTGCTGGACCCAATAAACACACTGAGGTCCCAGGTTGTGGTGTCAGCAGAACCCCACCTGATCCCAACTTCACTGTCTGTGTGTCTGTGTGTCGTCTGTGTGTCTGTCCTTTCTGGATTGTTTCACCACCTTGAGCCTATGCCCGAAGTGTGTGGTGTCTTCAGCAGTAAGCTCTTACCATTTAAGTTCTGATGGGCAACCAAGAGCGATGGCAACATCCTGTATTGTTTGGGAAGAAGGATAGGTTCTAGGACACCTTTGGCTGACAGTTAGAGGGCGGTACCTCACACCTGGCACTGATATGTTTTATTTGGCAACCTATGGCTTTCAGAAAGAGCATTATTCCCTGTGTAGGGGAACTCCAAATAAACCCTTTAAATGAATATATGTGTGTGTGTGTGTGTGTGTAATATATATATATATATGACTATAAAAGAGTAGGTTTCCATATGGCTTTTACATATACCCTAGTGTTAGTTTTCCTTCCTCCCCTCCTCTCTTCCGCTCTACCCTCTCATCTCTCTCCCCATTAAGCCCCCTCCCCTTATTCCTCCTTTCCCATTCATATCACCAAGTGGAGGAGAGGGGAATGAGAAACCATTTGATCTCTCAGCCTTCTGAAATCCAACCTGATAATTAAGCTAAACCCAAAGAACTAAGAGGGAGGGAGGGAAGGATGCTGTGGTAGTTTAGGTAAGAATGGCCCCCATAGGCTCATATGTTGGAATGAGTGGTCCTCAGTTAGTGGAACTGTTTGAGAAGGACTAGGAGGTGTGGCCTTGTTGGAGGAGGTGTGTCACTGGGGGCGCTGAGTGAGGTTTCAAGAGACTCTTGTCATTCCCGGTGCTCTCTCTGCGTCCTGCAGGCAGATCCAGATGTGAGCTCTCAGCTGTTCCCGCTGTCACGCCTTTACTCCACCATCGCAGACTCTAACCCTCTGAAACTGTAAGACCAATGAAAACATTCCCTTTAATAAGTTCCCTTGGTCTTGGTGTCTTGTCCCAGCAAAAGAGAAGTAACTAAAGACAGGGGGATTTTTACACTACTAATTCTCAGATGCCTTGTATACTTGCACTTTGCTTTCTAACCCTAAAATCTTTCATCACCTGCTAGAGTCATCCACAGCCATCTAAGTTGCCTCTGCACAGGCAGGACTCAAGTCTCAGGACACAAAGAGGCTCTACTCCCTCTGCCTCTGCCGAGCCCATGGGATTCACTGTGACGAGGTCTGCTCAGCCCTCGGCGACTCAAAGCTACTTCCACAATTTGCTCCTCAGCTCCTCAGCCCCTCTTCCCCGACTCGAGTCCTCAGGCCTGGCCCCTCCCAGGTCCTTCTGTCTGCCTTCCCTCTGCAGATGCTCTCAGGATGAGCAAGTTGTGGAAAGCCTTAGGAGGAACCAGAGGACACCAGTAGAGCTCAAGGACCAAACTCTAGACTCTCTTCCGCCCTCTGGTCAGTCACCTACACCGTCCCCTCAACACCATCCAAGGTGAGTGTCAGTAATGAAAGTTGCCCAGGATGCAACAGTGTGTCAGAGATGGCTGTTTTCCTAAACACATCCTCACAGGGTAGGAATCCAATTCCCCGAGTGTGGCATGCATTTTATTGGAGTTCCGAGGATGATTCAGGGGGCAATGACACATGCTTTCTATTTAAGAGTTCAGGGTTTAATTTCACGATCACCTTCTATTTATGGAAAGAGATGCTAGATTCCATGTGCGGTCACAGTATAAAGTTTCCTGCTAGAATATACTTTCTAAGTGAAAAATTGGAGCCAATTTAAGTAAAGGAAAGTAAGAAGTAAGTAGCTGTCTTGGCAGGGTGTGAGCGTGCTAAGACCACAAAGGTGGTAATGCATGACTAAAGGCTGGCCTCCTGTGATGGAGCCATCCTGTAGTCCCATCTTTATCACTTGCTCATTGAGACCAGATTAAACTCAAAAATGTATTAGACTCAATAGATGCCTATTAGGCAAGAGCCTGCAGGGCCCAGGATTAAAAGGAGGCCTGGGAGTCTTCCACTCACAGGGACACCACCAGAGATGGAGGAAACGATTTGTAAGAACCAAGCTGTGGGAGTGGTAGGGATGAGGGATGCCTTGGGAGGGGAAACTCTGGAGCTTTGGGGGAGTGGGGAAGCACCCTGAAACAGGTCTTGGCCTCTGACATGGTTCCCTGCATTTGGAGAAGTGACTTCACCATTCTAGAGACCTTTTTATGGCAGAGAAAGCCATCAGGGGACTAACTTCTACAGGTGTGTGAGGGCCTTGTGCAGGACAGATCGGTAAATCATTTCCTGCAGCTCAAGGTGGCACCCTCAGGAGCACACGTCTGGGGGGCCAGGAATCACTAAGGTCCTTGCTGATTGGCCCACACAGGCCAAGGATCACTCTCTTGCAGCCCCACCTGCTCCCTGCCTTCCTGTGTCCACTGAACTAGCCCTTTCTTCATCAGCAGAGGTTGCCTTCTGCTCCCCAGAGGCTGACCAGCAACCCAGCCCTGGTGGGCAGAAACAGAGCCCAACACACAGAACCGCCTTGTCTGGCTCCAGATCTTGAGAGTGGACACTTTACAGAGCATTTTTGTTGTCCTGTTTGCAGTGAGATTTGTCTTTTGGAATTGTTGTCCCCATCTTACCTACAGGGTCCCAGGTAGACAACAGTTCACAGCCCTGCCCTTTGCCACAAGGCATGAAGAGATCTGAGCTGACCAGAGCCTCCCTCTGGGGGAGGAATTGTCAGGAACTTGAGCTAGAACTGTGAATCCAGTTCATGTGGGGCTTGTCTCCATAGTGTGGTGAGATCTCCATGCTGTGGCTAGACAAGTCTCCACACGGTGGAGGGGGTCCTCTCCATACTGTGGAGGGACTTGTCTCCAGGCTGTGGAGAGGTTAGTCTCCACACAGTGGAGGGGGTCCTCTCCATACTGTGGAGGGGTTACTTCCAGAGTTGGGGGAGTCAGCCACCTGCTGTTGTAATTTTCTCTCACTGCCACGGGACACCTGACTGAAAAATGTTAAGGGAGGATTCTGTGGCTCCTTTAGTTGATCTTTAGTTGATGGGAAAGGGGTGTCAGTGGGATTTCGAAGCTGAGGCTCATTCAGTTAGTGCAGACAGGAAGAAGGTACAGGTATAGCCTTCAAGGCTGCTGCTTCTGTGTGACTGGCTGCTTTGGGCCATTGGGGCTTCTGTAGAAATGACTTTGGTCCAGACAGGCCTCCTCTGACTACTCTGCCTAGGCCTAGGCCTTAGTCACTTGATTGCTGTGAGAGGCCAGCTACCCACCCATCTGGTGGCTCCCAGCAACCAGCACAACATCTGGAGCATCAAGGGAGCCCATCAGATAATTTGTTGGGTTAGTGATGGAGACAGAGGACCTAGGAGTGTAGTTAAAGAGCCATCCATGCTGCTGCAGGGGGAGGGAGGGGTACCAGCAGGGGTGCTGCCCTCAGGGCCTGGGTTTAGCCCTTTCCCAGTCAGGGAGTCACCACCCTAGGAAACATACGGCAAAGAAGAGCTTGGCAACTGACTCCCAGGCTGCTCAAGACAATCACTCGAAAATATACATGGGCAGATTTTGTGCACCGCACTTATGGAAACATTATTCAAGAACATTATGAACACACAAAAATAAATCTTTAAAAATACCATTTGGACAACATACACGTACAAGTGATTTCTCCTTCTACTATGGCAGCCCACGGAGGCATTTTTAAAGACATGAATGTGGCAAGCTTACAGGACATAGGGAACCTGCAGGTAGGAACACACATCCACTGTGATCCATACAGCTCCTGACCCAGGGAAACCCATCCAGTCTCCCCATGAGAGGATGATCACAACCACCGGTCCACCGCTCCTGCTCTGATCAAGGGAGAAACAATGGCAATTCATGGCCTGCTGGAGCCACGCATGAAGCAAGAGGTTCTCACACATTGTCTCACAGAACCCACAAGATCCCCGTGAACAAACCAAAGCCTAGAGAGGCTAAGTAGCCTGGCCATCGTTATCCAGCTGACAGGGTCAGACTCGGACAACACACACAAGGAGAGGGGAAAGGAGCAGGCCAGAGAGAGAGAGAGAGCAACCAGAACGGGGGCATCTAGGTCAACTCTGCCGCAGTCCAAGGCAGCACTGAGGTCCGGGCAGTAGAAATGGTGAGAAGAGAACCGACTGGGCAGGCATTCTGGAATTGGAAATGAGACGGGGATGCGCTTCCTGCAGAGGCACAAAGAACAGGACAGAACCAAAGATGAGCGATGCTTGGCTCTGCTGGAGCAAGCACAGGGACAGCATTCTGAGACGGGGAGGATGGGATAGCCACAGAAGAGGAGGAGGGGAGGGAGCACCTGGAGGAAGAAAAGCTCTCACGCCTGTCTGGACCACTCTGGACCACTCATCTGCCCTCCTGTGCGGAAGTTGCTTCTGGGTCTCCCGCCTGCCACTTGACTACCGAAGAAGCTCTGCTTTGGCATCTCTATCACCTCCACCTGCCGCCTCCACAGTCGTACATCCTCTGGACTTCCTGAAAGGGGACCACACTTGGCCCTCAGTGCTTAAGACTTTTAGTTGGAACATTGAGTGCTGGTACCAGCTGAAAAGACAGGAAAGGTCCACTGACAGGGGAGAGGGGCTGGAGGCCTTTAAGGGAGAGAGGGAGTAGACCATGTGGGACATGAGAATGAAGGGGAGAACACTGGGAGCGGGGAGGCTTAAGCAGGGAGCGGGTGGTAGAATAGGGAAGGGGAGAAGGGAGGTATAAGCAGAACTAAGGATACATGAAAAAGTCATATGGAAACCTACTATTCTATAAGTTTGTTAAAAACGATATAATCTGAGAGAGGGTGAGAGAGATCAGGAAACTGAATGGAGATGCCATCCATGGATGGCTAATGCTTCTCTCAAAAGTCCATGGGTCCTTAAATGAAAATTCCAGTGCAAAGTGCGGCCTTCCCAGCCATACAAAACCATCCAGTTTTACAACCTACCTGTACTCTTACTCCTCTGGGTCCTATTCTCTCTCTCTCTCTCTCTCTCTCTCTCTCTCTCTCTCTCTCTCTCTCTCAGATTCTAGATGCCTCCCAACCATCTGTCAAGATTCACTTCCTTTTTTTTATGAATATAAAAACTAAATTTTTTACCTTTGACACCTCTTAGGAGTCCCTCCACCATCCTCTTTGTCCCTCTCCATCAAAATTCCTACCATGTGTGCTATTAAAATGACTGCCCCCATACTAAACAGTAAGGGCGGCAACGGTATCCCGTCTTCCTGTTGTACAGAACACACCACCAGACTGAGTACACAGATATGTGTGAGTCTGATAGATAATAAATGCCAGAGTTGATAAGGTTCTAACACCTTCAAAATGAAGATTTTGAGTGCTTAAATTTACTTGCAAAAATTCTATAGGGACTGGTTCAACCGCAGAGCCCTGGATTAGCATTAGTACGCACAAAACCTCAGGTTCCATCCCAGGTCCACAAAAAAATAAAAGTAGTTTTTAATCCTACAAACTCCTTTAAGATAAACCTCCTGTGTCACCTGTGTCCTGTGCTGCTGGTCCCCACTGGAGTCTGAACACTGCTGAAGGAGAATAAGCAGAAGACCGTGTGAAGTGTCTCCCACGCAGCCTCCTGTGGTAGCATCCACCAGCCTGGTGACTCTCTGAGACAATGAGGGAGTCAATGGTATGTGTGGGTCATGAATGAGTGATGTAAATGGCCCCTGACATGAGGACTCTGGCATGCACAGAGTGCTCATTTTGGTGTTAGTCCTCTGCATCCAAGAAATAGCTGGTCTCATCCTGTGCACTGCCATCAGAAAGGGCTTTTTCTTTTTTTTTTTTTTTTTTTTTTTTTTTTTTTTTTTTTTTATTTTTTTTTTTTTTTTTTTTTTTTTTTTTGACTAACCTATGGAAGTGAAACTTCATTAGAAAATCTAATAATTCAAATGTGGAAATTTTCACAGCATAATTTTCTGGTTTTGAAAATATATGAACCCAAAATGAGCACCATCACGGGACTGTATCTACTTGCTTAGCAGGTGTCAGATATGAAGCTGGGGAAGATCTCTCCTGGCTGGCTCAGATCTCGAGAAAATGAGTTCTTGATTACGATTCTTCTGATTCTTCCATAAAATATGTCCTTCCCATAGCCCACGACAACCTGCAACTTTGTTCTGGAGAGATGATTGTACTCTTGGTACCATAGTAGCCAAGCACTTTTTACATTACCACCCATGAGAGCAATTCATCAGGAGCCGTCTCCATGTTATCACCTATTCCTTCCCAATCACCGTTGGTTGGACTCACTGCATTGGCAATTTTAAACTGTATCAAGTAAATTTTGGTAAGCAAGTAGCACCAAAGATATAAAGAACATTAGCCTCCATTCTTTTAGGAAGACAGGACATTCTAAGTTTGAGTTCAAAATATTTTAAGATAAAATTGTTCCTGTTGAATGGCTGACTAGATGAAAATATGATGTTTGCCTTTCTTCTCTGTGTTTACTCACAGATTCTTAAGGTTGAAAAATGTCATCTTGGTTGGCATCAGAGCAGACCCATAGTCTAGACCTTTGTTAATTCAGCTCATTTTGCCATCATTATTACCAGTGTGCGATATTGCCATTTTTACATTAATCATGTTTCCCTGATAGTTTTTCTCTCTATCGTTTTGCACGTCAGATTAGAAATTCTATGGCCACAGCTATATTCATGGACAACAAAAGAAGTATCCCCCCTAAACACTACCATCTAGAAGGCAGTTAAATAAATAAATGCATGTCCAAGGACAAATAAGCAGTGCCCATCAGAAGGCTGCAAAGTTGGTGTCACCTGTGTGTCACAGCTTCCTGGGAGCACAGGATGTGTTCTATATGACCCAACAGTAGAGCTGGCTTTCTTCTCTCCTGCCCCAGCCTTCCAGATGATTCCATCATCCTTCCATGGCTTCCCACTTCAGAGATTTTTTTTACCATAATTAACAATAATTGGTGAAAATGATTCAACAGTTCCTAGGATGATAAAATGTCAAAGATATAAAAAAAATTAAGTCCAAGATCCAATGATTTATGCACAGAGCCATAGATTTGTCAAGGGTCCTACTGAGTAATTTTAAGACAGAATGGATTTCACTCTGTCTTTTTTTTTTTTTTAATGTTGTCTTTGGAAGAGCTCTGAAAATGAACAAAATCCATAAAATAGCATTCTTTGCAAATAGAACTGCTGAGAGAGAGAAAGAGAGAGAGAGAGAGAGAGAGAGAGAGAGAGAGAGAGAGAGAGAGAGAGAGTCAGTGACAGAGAGAAAGTGAGAGGAGACCCCTCAAAGACTTCTGGAGTTACAATGAGGGTTAAGCCACATTAACAGTTTTCGTCATTTACCGAAGACTTCCAAAGTCAGGTTCATTTGGAAAACAAGTCCCACAAAAGACTTTTCTGAAATCCAGCATTTCTCAGGCAAAGTTCCAAAACCAGCCTTAAGGAGTGCCACCTCATCCCAGCACCCCCATGTCCCTTCTGGCCTCCGCTGCAGAAGCCAGGCAGCCCCTTGCTTAGGATATTTTTTTCCTGGAGTTTGTCTCAGTACACAGAAGGAAGAAAAAGCTACGTCCCAAAGAAAACAGTGAGGGCTTCTGGGTACTGTTCAGACTTTGGGATGAAGTCCTAACACAGCTCCGTCCACAGGCAGACACTTGACGTTCACTGTCTTCTCATGTTATTCCAGTAAACGGATCTACTGGGAGGGATGCAGTGTCCTTATTCTCTGAGACTTTTAAAAAAATTCCTTTGTATCATTTATATTTCTGGCCAATCTATGAATGACTTGACTACTTACTGATTGATGAGAAATGCCCAGCTCACAACTGTGCTGTGTTCCAGCACTGTGAAGGCTGGTCAGGGAACTCGGCATCTACTTTCCTCACAGTGTTGCCCAAGCTAGCCATGAACTCTTGGGCTCAAGCCATCCTCCTGTCTCAGTCACCCAAGTAGCTGAGAATAAAGGAATGCAGCACCGTGCCCAGCTAAAACAATATTGTAAGTGGTCGGTTTCCAGGCCAGACCCAAAAGCCTTCTTCCCTCAGATGTTGAAGACCTGAGCTTTTACAGGGAAAGAGAGCAGAAATCATTGTGAAGATGTATTCATAAACTAAACCAAATGTGAAAGATTTAGTCTCCTTTAATTCTGAAGCCTGGTAGACAAAGAAACCAGTGAAGAGGACACCGCGGGGGATCAAGACTTTTTAGGGGAGACTTCTGCTCATGAGAATGTGGGGAGCCTGACACAGCAGTGTGTCATTTTTTTTTCAGTTTTGCCTCTAGCCATTTTTTTCCATTTATCTTCCTACAAGTATGAAACACGCAGGGTAGACAGAAGAAGGCAGTGAAGGGTGGGGGAAAGATGGGAAATGAAACTGTTTGAAATAGAGGTCCTTCCTTGGGGATACAGAGTTAAATCATAGCCCTGTGAGAACTGACTGAGCCAGGGTGAGCTGGTGAGGAAAATTGTGAAGAATGGTGGAGACAGTGGGACACCCAGGGTTACAGGCCCTTAATCAGCTGGAAGAATGGAGTCACTATTTGGTCAGACAGTACCTCTTCTGGCCATAAGGTGGTGCCATAAGCCCAGCCTGTCTGCCCCAATAGGCTGGGGCATGCAGGGGGCGGAGCTCCCCAGTGTAAGCCATGTTCCCCACTCAGCCTCTGGAACCTTCAGGAAGCCTGCACTAGAGACCTGTGTCAACTTGTAATCACTGCCTCAGCCGGCTGGAATAATCCCATCTTCTAGGGCCCCACCTGCTCACACAGCAGCAAGGTTATCTTCTGCCCTGCTGGACACCACAGCCCACATGGAGAGTTCAACCCATTCCTTTGCACTCCATTCATCTTGTTCCAAAATGCCAGTACCCATCCCAGAGCTTTCTCTGAGTCCTAAAGGGAATCCAGTCAAAGAGCACCCTGCATCAGGTAGATCCCTCTCAGGATGATAGATCTTCCACAGTGAGCACAGATTCGGCAGCATGGCCCAGCCTTACCGCATGACTGGCCATCTAGCCAGCCTGGTCTCCCTCTTTAGTACCAAACTGGATAGCTTCATTCCTGACACAAAACTCACCGTGTCCCCTCTTCTTGTGTTTTGCCTCCGCAGAAACATCCTTTCCCTTGCCTTCACTTGGCAATACCCCTCCTCTAGCTTTCAACCCAAACATTTCTCTCGCCAAAACCTTCACTCTTGGACTTGATGGAGGGTGGCTGGAAAAGGGAAAGCATGGGGTGGAGCAAGCTTTGTTTGTCAGAACACAATCAAAATATCACACAACATTTCCCCCGTTTTGTCTAAACAAAAAAAGGGAAGGTTTTAACTAACATAGTAAAGCTATAGATAATAAATACAATAATAATATACAAATACATACAGGCAAGAAATATATTAACAATGTCTAGTCCATCTGCACAAGTCTGGATGTCATAGACAGACCAGATCTATCTCAGCAGTTGTATGTCTCAAACTGTCCAGACATTGGAACCCCAAGGCAGCACTGGCTGGCCCGTCTTTGCTCCTCTAAGTCTTTGATCTCATTTAAGGTAGACATTAGATTTAGAGAGACGCCAAAGTTTCGACCTTGATGTGTGGTGCAATGCCTGTGCTCAACCCATGCTACGTTTCTAAGTGCCATCTACTGTCCCCAGCCCACTCCACTCATCTGCCAAACCCAGCCTGAGGAACTGATGAGCTAAAGGAATCGGCAGGGAAAAGGGGATCACAACAAAGGTGTGCCACACCCTTCTCCAGCCTCATTCTGTCCTGGGCCTTTGGCCCAGAGAATCGCCCAGCAGACCTCCCAGTGAGATGAAGTGGAAGAACACCCTTGTCCAGGTGCTTCTGCCTTGACCAGGAGGTCCAGAGACCAACCTTCCAGAAGGGGTGCTGTGTGCTTACAGCACCACACACACATCAAGCCACTGTGTGCTCTTTCTAAAGCAGCAATTGGCTCAGATGAGAACCATGAAATTCCTTTGGAAGTTGGAGTAAAAGCCTCAAGATGATTTTTTTTTAAACCATGCATATTCTCCGAGGGCAGGTGCAGGGCCTCACTGCAACAGGACAAGGTGGGTTTCCTTCTACTGCCTTGAATCTCCAGATTCTGTTTCTCTGGTGCTACTTCCCTTCGTGGAAGAGGCCACAGAGGTCTACCCAGCTCTAAAGTTAGGTAAGGCTGAGGACAGCTTGACTCTCCCAGGAAATTTTCGGCCTTAAAGAGTTTGGGGAGATGGGTAGACCAAAATGTTTTTGTTTGTTTTATTTTTAAGGATGTACAAGGCGGGGGGGGGGCTTTTCGTAAACTTATAAAGGAAGCTGAATTAACTATTCAAACAAGCGAGGTGGCCAATGAGGATGGCCCATCGTTATATTCACTGTTCACCACCTTCCCCAAAAGATGAATGCGGAAGTCACTGTTATTAAAATCATGGGTATGAGTGGCCAGTTTCTTCCGGCCATCGAAGACTAAGACATTCGAAGTGACCGTTTCCTGGGGCCCGAGAGATGGAGAGCTACCATGGGCAGAAGCTCCAAGAGGTCCTGCCCCTGGAAAGCCCATTCCGAAGGCACCTTCCCACATCCTCCCTTACTTCCTCCAGTCTGAAGGAGCGGTCACCGTGATCCCCAGCCTCTGCCATCTCCTCGCTGGAAGGCAGCTGTCACCCAGGAAAGCTGAGCAGCAGCAAAAAGACAACCTGCGCGCCCATCTCTGCAACCCCTCCCTCAGGCGTGTCGCACGTAGGCGCAGAAGAGGCAGCGAGTGCGCCTCGGTGCGGAGGCCCAGGGTAGCAGTCGCCGCGGGC